GATGAAGCAATGACCATTGTTCATTTGTTAATTTTTGATTGGCGCCTGCAAAATATCAAGAGATTATAGCACACGAAAATTTGGAAAGTGTCCTGAATTCATGTTTTATGGCCGTACAACGTCAAAAAATGAGGAACGGTCATGGCGAAGCAATGACTATTGTTTATTAGGTCATATTAGATGGTCCTGCAAAATTTTAGGAGATTCGTGTCCAGTCGTCCGAATTCATGCAGATGGCGTGGGCTACACACCAAAATCCAAGAAACATCCTAAATTCCTGTTTTGTAGCCCCAAAATGCCAAAAAATGAGGAACGGTCACAGCGAAACAATGATTATTGTTCATTAGAATATTTTTTATGGGCCCGTACAATTTTAGGAAATTCGGACCGGTGCCTGAATTTATGTAGATGGTGCAGACTATAGCATACGAAAATCTGGGAATTGTCCTAAATTCCTATTTCATGGCTCTATAATGGCAAAAAACGAGGAATGGTCATGGAGAAGCGATGACTATTATTCATTAGGTTATTTTTTATGGTCCCGCAAAATTTTAGGAGATTCAAAACCGGTCGCTTGAATTTATGCAGATGGCGTGGACTATAGTACACAAAAATTTGGGTATCATCTTCCTAATTTATAATGCCAAAAAGTGAGGAACGGTCATGGTGAAGTGATGAATATTGTTTATTAGGTCATTTTTTATAGGCTTGCAAAATTTTAGGAGATTCAAGGTTGTTCGCCCGAATTCATGCAAATGGTGTGAATTATAGCACATGAACATTTGGGAATCGTCTTAAATTCTAATTTTATGGCCTAAAATGTCAAAAACCGAGAAACGATAATGGCGAAGCGATGACTATTGTTCATTAGGTCATTTTTTATGGGCACACAAAAATTTAGGAGATTGAGAGCCGATCGCCCGAATTCATGCAGATGGCATGTGCTATAGCACGGAAAATCTAGGAATCATCTTTAATTGTTATTTTATGACCCTAAAACACCAAAAAAATGAGTAACGGTCATGGTGAAGTGATGATTATTGTTCATTAGTTCGTTTTTGATTGACCCATAAAATTTTAGGAGATTCGGGGCCGATTACCCAACTTCATGCAGATGACGTACACTATAACACATGAAAATCTAGGAATCATCCGAAATTCCTGTTTTATGGCACTAAAATACCAAAAAAGAGAAACGGTCAAAGCGATGTAATGACTATTGTTCATTACGTTATTTTTTATGGGCTCACAAAATATTAGGAGATTCGAGGCCGATTGCCCGAATTCATGCAGATGACGTGGACTATAGCATATGAAAATCATCTTAAATTTATGTTGTATGACCCTAAAATGCCAAAAAATAAGTAATGGTCATGAAGAAGCGTTGATTTTTGTACATTAGGTAGTTTTTTTATTAGCCCGCAAAATTTTCAAAATTCGGGGTCTGTCGACCGAATTCATGCAGATGGCGTGGGCACATGTAAATCTGGGAATCGTTTTAAATTCCTATTTTATGGCCCTAAAATGCCAAAAAATGAGGGACGAACATGGAGAAACAATAACTATTTTTCATTAGGTCATATCTGATTTACCCGCAAAATCTAGGAGATTTGAGGTTGGTTGCCCTTATGCAGATGACATGGACTATAACACCCGAAAATTTGAGAATCGTCCTGAATTCCTATTTTACGGCCCTAAAAAGCTAAAAAAGAGAAATCGTTATAACGAAGTGATAACTATTATTCATTAGGTTATTTTTTCTGGGCGCGCAAAAAGTTAGGAGATTCGAAGCCGATCGCTCGAATTCATGCAGATGACGTGTACTATAGCATACAAAAATTTGGAAAATGTCATGAATTCCTGTTTTATGGCCCCATAATGCCAAAAAATGAGGAATGTTCATGGCAAAGCGATGACAATTGTTCATTAGGTCATTTTTTATGAGCCCGCAAAATTGAGGTGAACCGTGACCGATCACTCGAATTCATGTCGATGACGTGGACTATAGCACACGAAAAATCTAAGAATCGTCCTGAATTGCTATTTTATTACGCTAAAACGCAACAAACGAGGAATGATCACAGTGAAGATATGACTATTGTTTATTATTTTGATTTATATGGGCAAAAAATTTAGGATATTCGGGGCCGGTCTCCCGAATTCATGTAGATGGCCTGGACTATAGCATACGAAAATTTGAGAATCGTCATGAATACCCATTTTATGGCCCTAAAATGTCAAATATGAGGAATGATCATGGCGAATCAATGACTATTATTCATTAGGTCGTTTATTATGGGGTGCGAAAATTTTTAGGATCGCTCGAATTCATGCAGATGGAGTGGACTATAGCATACGAAAATCTGAAAGCGTCTTGAATTTCTATTTTATAGCCCTAAAACGCCAAAAATTGAGCAACAGTCATGGAAAAACAATTATTATTGTTCATTAGATTGTTTTTGATGGTCCCACAAAATTTTAGGAGATTCAAGGCCGGTCACCTGAATTCATGCAGACGACGTGAATATAGCACACGAAAATCTAGGAATCATCGTGAATTCATCTTTTATGGCACTCAAATGCCAAAAAATGAGTAACAACCATGGTGAAGCGATGACTATTGTTCATTAGGTCATTTTTTATAGGCTCGCAAAATTTAGGAGATTTGGGGCCGGTAACTCGAATTCATGTAGTTGGCGCGGACAATACACACGAAAATTTGGGAATCGTCTTAAATTCCTATTTTATGGTCCTAAAATACCAAAAAATGAGGAACTATCATGGCGAAGCGATGTCTATTGTTAATTAGGCCATTTTTATGGCCCCATAAGTTTCAGGAGATTCAGGGCTGATCGCCCGAATTCATGCAGATGGCGTCGAATATAGCACGCAAAAATTTAAAAGTCGTCTTGAATTCCTATTTTATGGCCCTAAAACGTCAAAAAATGAGCAACGGTCATGGTGAAGCGGTGCATTAGGTTATTTTGATAGGCCCGTAATAGTTTAGAAGTTTCGAGGTTAGTCGCTTGAATTCATGCAGATAGCGTAAACTATAGCACACGAAAATTTGGGAATCGTCCTGAATTCCTGTTATATGGCTTTAAAACGCCAATAATGAGGACCAGTCATGGTGAATCGATGACAATTCATTAGGCTGTTTTTTATGGCCCGTAAAATTTAGACGATTTGTTGTCGGTCGCCCAAATTCATGCCAATGGCGTGGACTATATCAAACGAAAATGTAGGAATCATCCTGAATTCCTATTTTATTGCAATAAAATGCCAAAAACGAGGAATGGTTATGGCGAAGCGATGACTATTGTTCATTAGGTCGATTTATATGGGTTCGCAAAATTTTAGAAGATTCGGGACTGGTTGCCTGAATTCATGCAGATGACCTGGACAATAACGCTGAAAAATCTGGAAATCATCCTGAATTTTATGGCCTTAAAACGCTAATAAACGACGAACAATCATGACGAAGTGATGACTATTATTCATTAAGTCGTTTTTTTGGGTCTGCAAAATATTAGGCGATTCGGGGCTGGTCTCCTGAATTCATGCAGATGGCGTAGATAATAGAAATGGTCAATGGCGAAGCGATGACTATTATTCATTAGGTCATCACTTCGCTATGATTGTTCCTCGGTTTTGGTTATTTTAGGGCCATAAAAACAAAATTCAGGACAATTCCTAGTTTTCGTGTGGTATAGTTCATACCATCTGCATGAATTTGGATGGGCGACTCTAAAACTCTTAAAATATTGCGGACCCATAAAAAATGACCTATAAACAATAGTCATTACTTAGTCATGACAATTCCTCATTTTTAGCGTTTCAGGGCCATAAAACAAGAATTAAGAATGATTCTCATATTTTCGTGTGCTATGGTCCATGCCATCTGTATGAATTCGGGCGACCGACTTTGAATCTGCTAAAATTTTGCGTGCCTATAAAAAATGACCAAATGAACAATAGCCATCGCTTTGCCATGACCATTTCTCATTTTTGGCATTCTAGGGCCATAAAATAGGAATTCCGGACGATTCCTAGATTTTCACATGTTATATTCTACGCCATCTGCATAATTTCGGGTGATCGGCCCCGAATCTCCTAAAATTTTGCAGGCCCATAAAAAATGAACTAATGAACAATAGTCATTGTTTCGTCATGATCGTTCCTCGTGTTTTGGCATTTAAGGGACATAAAACTGGAATTTAGGACGATTCCCAGATTTTTGTATGTTATAGTCCATGCCATCTATATGAATTTGGCGACCGACCCCGAATTTGCTAAAATTTTGCAGGCTCATCAAAAACGAGTTTTCTATGTGGCAAAGTAATGACTGTTGTTCATTATGTTATTTTTATGGGCCCGCAAAATTTTAAGAGATTTGGGTTCGGTCGCCCGAATTCATGTGGATGGTGTAGACTACAACACACAAAAATCTGATTTTGTTTACGAACTCCGATTGGCTTGAATTTTTGTATGTCCATATGAAATGGTGCAGTGATCAATACTCATCGCTTCGCCATAACATTCGGGTTAATTTTTTTTGGTGTTTTGGGGTTATACAATACGAATTTGTGGTTATATTCACTTTTTCATGTGTATTAGCACATGTTGATTTTATAGAATTTTTTTGACGAATTCTGATTGGCTTGAATTTTCGTAGGTTCATAAGATGAGCAATACTCACTATAACTAACATTACATTTTTTTACATTTTGGGATCATAAAAATACTATGCACGGCCACCTGAACCAGGAATTAATGATTATGTAGTAGCTAAAGATATAAATATTAGCTTGCAGTCCTTAACCCGGCCATCTAAAGATAGAGAGGCAGTTTCCGATTTGAATATTACTGCATACTAATAGATTTTAAAACATCAACCACATAGAAAACTCACTCAGTTTGGTTTGAGATATTGTACGGAAAAAAAAAACAAATTTCACCACATGACAAACTTGACGTAAAAATTTAAATGGAAGCTCAGGTATTGGTATTTTTCTACTTGCACAAGATATCAAAACCAAACTCATCATACAGCTCCGAAATATGTCATAGAGAAGTTTTTGAGACTTGTAAAATAAAAAAACGTTTGAAGGAATTTCTAGTATGACTGTTCCTTGTACTCTTCCAGTGAACTGAAAATGAGGTAATCTCACAAGCTTATCACAGATATAGTTTTGCTACTAGCAGATATCAGATAAATATTTTAATACTTGTGAAGCGAAAAGTTATCTCCGTGTGACCTAAAGATCACGGGTTCGAGCCGTAGAAGCAGTCACTAATGCTTGCATTAGGGTAGGTTGTCTACATCACACCCCTTGGGATGCGGCCCTTTCCAGGATCCTGCGTGAATGTGCGATACCTTGTACACTGGGCTGCCCAATTTTTTTTTTAAAGCTGAAAAGCTATTAAGGCAGTTTAGCTCGTCAAGAAACTTGTGTTATAACAAGCGGAACGCTTATATATCCAGAGCTACTTACAGTATTCCGTTTGCAACATAAGCCAGCTACATACAAAATGGAATTATCTGTTAATCTGTTCTATATTTCAGCTTTGCTTTTGCAGTCCATTCTGAATGTAAAATGTGTACGCCCGGTTACAGCCACAAGCTGCTGTATCAATACTTTGAAAAGTTATTTTCAGTCATATGAACAATTCTCAGTCTCAGGTACACCAGACCAGAAGCTAATACTGACCAGATTTTACCAGTTGAATAGATAGTTGTGCAGCAGAGCTACTAACAACAAGAATATAGTTAGAGCCATTTGAGCTGTCAAACTAGAACCACTTGACAGAGAGTGAGCACCTACTAAACGAACCGATCCAGTAATTTCGTCTTTTAATTCAATGCTTGATGAGCCTGAAATCAACCAAAACACAATTTTTGATGAGTTAACAGTGAATCAAACCTTTTCGAAGATATAAAAGATGTCATGTCTCAAACACTGGACGAGCAGTGATTTGGCACATATCAAAAAGTTAACGTGGGGATATGCACCAATGTAACTGATCTGTGATAATCAAGTTGCACTGCTCATTGCTTCAAACAAAAGATCGACTTTGGGTGCGTTGCAACAGGTCTTTGTCAACTCAAATAGCTAGTTAGAAAATGTTCTTACAAAGTCACTGCGTGGCTCCAGAATTGAGTATATTTGCGGCAAGTTAGGAGCATACAATATGTGCGCTCCAACTTGAGGAAGATTATAAGAATTAAGAATGTTTCATTTTCACTATGGGAAAGGTCTCGAATCCCTATGATTGTGTAAGTAGGAACGGAATTACTCTTTTTGCTTTTTAGGATTACTTGTAAACACTATTTACATGCTTGAGGGAATAATCAAGCAATTCATTCCCAAATTTTCTGCTCTTTTCTTTCTTTATAAGTACATAAAGATTTGCAATGAAATTATAGATCATTTATCTAGGTCAGTAGAGCCACTCTAGATTCAGCTGAAACTAAAACAAAGAGTAACACAAATTGAACAACAAAATTATCTAATTCCAATGTACCAAAATATATTGCAAGTATCGAACAGATATAACCTACACTTACAATTATATTCCGTCCAACCAATGGCCTGGTTTTCAAGATCATACAAAACTAGCTTATTTGAGAGTACCAAATCTGCAAGCATCAGAATACCTCCAAGTATTTACAAGAAAATGAGACAATAATGAAAGAATAATCTTTAAGTTCCTTAAGATAAGGAATCCAACCAAGGAAACATACAACGTAATTGAAACAATCCAGATGCACTTTAATCACTATTTTCACAGCAATTGACCAATTCTAACAGACTTAGAAGAGCTGGAGAGAGAATTTGGGATTAAATCACAAAATGAGGTTGCAGAGCACTCTCACTTATTATTGTGAGTGCTAAATGCACATTTCTCAAATAGAAAGCATGCCCCTGAACAATGTCAGTTAATTTTTTAAAGGTAGTCGTGTCAAATAGTTATTTAAATATAGTCCCCTCTTTCACAAAATAGCAATAGTTTGGATATAAATAGTTGCCAGTTCTTCCAAGAGGTCGCAATTTAGCTCTAAAATGCTGGCGTTGAATTTCCACCACTCAATTATTGTGAATGTCATGTAAACCATGAAACAAACAAGTGATATTGCAGTCATAATCTTAGCCAGCTACCGTAAATGAAATGATACAATTTTACAGCAAATACCAATTCATTTTAAAAAAATACACACATACGCATATTGAACTAGCATAAATTCCCCATTATTTTGTGGGCTTTCAGATGGTTTGGGCCTCTGAGATAGATCATATTAGTGCGAAGAAGATAGTTCATAAAAAAGGTCATAAATGGAGTTAAAGAAGAAATAATTACAGACAGCAAAGGGTGCACAATTCACATAGATTCAACCATATGTTGGTCCGATTCATTTTAATTAAAGAAAAAAGGTGGAAAAAGTCGTCAGTAAAGGACAAACATATAATTGATTATGATCTTTACTCTTCAACTACAGAATTTAAGAGGAAAATCATACTTCAGCTTCCTTATGACAGAAAATCCAAGGGCTATTTGGATGGAAGGAATTCTCAGACGATTTCAAATTCATATCCAAATCCCCGTTACCTGTTTAGCTGTAAAAACGAATTAATAGAGTTCAAATGCGGACTTAAATCCTGATGGATTATGTCCTTAATACGTATTTCTAAATGACTCCTTAGAGCTCGTAAAGACTGCCACCCTCATCACATTCAACTTGCTTGTCACCATCCCAGTCTGCACTGAACTACCGCAATCCAGAATAAATACAGGATGTAACCCCGCTCCCAAAAAAGAAAAAGAAAACAGCGTCTCTCTTCCCAAACCATGTAGNTCTTTGACGTTTACTACGTCTTGGATCCTCCTGATTACATATACTTTCTTTTGTTTCTTCCCGAAATCGTTTAGATCCTTCACCAAACGACTCATATTCCTTTTTATACGGATATATATTTTCAAAGAGCTCAGCATTATCTGATTCTATAACCGTATTATTATGAATGTCGGGATTTTCTGATTTATGAACCAGAAATCGATATGCTTTACTATTTGTCGCATATCCTATGAAAACACAATCAACGGTTTTCGGTCCCTATATTTACACTTTTCGGTTTAGGAACTTGCACTTTTGCCAAACACCCCCACACTTTAAAATAATTCAAGTTGGGCTTCCTTCCTTTCCATTTTTCATATGGAATGGATTGTGTTTTGCTATGGGGCACTCGATTTAATATTCGATTAGCCGTAAGAATGGCTTCCCCCCACAAGTTCTGTGACAAACCAGAACTTATCAACAAAGCGTTCATCATCTCCTTTAATGTGCGATTCTTTCTTTCCGTAATCCCATTAGATTGGGGCGTGTAAGGGGCTGTTGTTTGATGAATAATTCCATATTCTAAACATATTTCTTCAAAAGGAGATTTATATTCACCACCCCTATCACTCCTTATCATTTTTACTTTCTTGTTAAGTTGCGTTTCAATTTCATTTTTGTATTGCCTANTGAATGCGTCTATTGCTTCATCTTTACTATTCAGTAAGTAAACATAGCAATATCGAGTACCATCGTCAATAAAAGTTATGAAATACTTCTTTCCACCGCGAGATGGTATTGACTTCATGTCACAAATATCTGTGTGAATTAAGTCTAAAGGATTTGAATTCCTTTCAACTGACTTATAAGGATGTTTAACATACTTAGATTCCACACATGTTTGACATTTTGTTTTTTCGCATTCAAACTTAGGCAGTTCTTCCAAGTTAATCATTTTCCGCAAGGTTTTATAATTGACATGACCCAAACGTACATGCCATAAATCATTTGACTCAAGTAAGTAAGAAGAAGCTGAAATATTATTATTATTTTCAACAACCATTACATTTAGATTGAAAAGGCCCTCGGTGAGGTAACCTTTTCCCACAAATATTTCATTCTTACTAATTACAACCTTGTTGGATACAAAAACGCACTTAAAACCGTGCTTAACAAGAAGTCCAGTAGAGACTAAATTCTTTCTCATTTCGGGAACATGAAGGACATTGTTCAAAGTCATGACCTTGCCAGAAGTCATTTTTAGAAATACCTTCCCATATCCTTCAACTTTTGCTGTTGAAGCATTTCCCATATAAACTGTCTCTCCGGGTTCAGCAAGAGCATAGGTAGCAAAAGCCTCTCTAACTGCACAAACATGGCGAGTGGCTCCTGAATCAAACCACCACAGTTTAGGATTTCCCACCAAGTTACATTCAGAGAGCATGGCACACAAGTTATCAACATCATCATGGTTTACTACCATGTTTGCTTGACCCCTTTTCTTGTCTTTCTTCGGAGCACGACACTCCGTAGATTTGTGTCCGGTTTTCCCACAGTTGTAGCAGTTTCCACTGAACCGCTTCTTGCTTGGGTTGTATTTCGGACCAGAAGCCTTCTTCCTCTTTTTGTTAGCTTCAACAATATTTGCTCCCATTATTGTTGAATTTCCACGGCCTCTCCTTTCAGCAGCTTTATTGTCCTCTTCGATTCTCAACCGAACAATGAGATCTTCAAGGGACATTTCCTTTCGTTTGTGTTTCAAATAATTTTTGAAGTCCTTCCACAACGGAGGCAACTTCTCAATCATTGCTGCTACTTGGAATGCTTCATTGATGACAAGACCTTCAGCAAGTAGATCATAAATAATCACTTGCAATTCTTGGACTTGGGTAATAACAGACTTGCTATCTACCATTTTGTAGTCCAAAAATTTTTGCGGCAACGAATTTCTTTCAT